AGTCTGCGGCGCCTGTGCCAAGCAACTCCAAGGTATCAGGAAAAGAGAGACAAGATGTCCAGCTGTTTGTACTGAGAGAATGTATGTGCTGCCTTAATTGCCAGGAGAGAGAGAGAGAGAGAGAGAGAGAGAGAGAGAGAGAGAGAGAGAGAGTCTTTATTACAAATGCTAAGAGCTCTCTCTTGTAGGAGGGAGGAGCTTTATATACAGGTTTACAGCAGAGTGGAAAAACCCCAGGTAGAGCCGGGCGTTGGTGGCGCACGCCTTTAATCCCACCACTCGGGAGGCAGAGGCAGGCGGATCTCTGTGAGTTCGAGGCCAGCCTGGTCTACAAGAGCTAGTTCCAGGACAGCCTCCAAAGCCACAGAGAAACCCTGTCTCGAAAAACAAAACAAAACAAACAAACAAAAAAACCCAGGTAGAAGAGAGCGTGTTTTCCTCCTGCTGGATGTTGATGTCAGAGGGTCAAGGACAGGGCAGTAAGCCAGGACTAGAAAACAGGAAGCACTTGGACTGGAAAACAGGTTGCACTTGTAGGCTGACCAGCAACTCACAGAGACCCCATGGGGTTGGGGCCCAACAGAAGTCGGCTCTGATGCCAGTGAAGGAATGGACCTGCTAGCAAGAACAAGAGCAGCAGGCTTGGGGAGCAAGCTTCCTCCTTCCATGTCCTTGTATTGGCTGCCAGCAGAAGGCGTGGCCCAGATTAGAGGTGGTTTCTCAAGCCTCAAAATCTAGATTAAAGCGGTTGTCTTCCCGCCTCAAAGATCCGGGTCAGAAGTTGATCTTCCCACTTCAACTTAATCAAAATTCCTCAAATTGAGCAAAAAGTCCCTGTTTGGGAGTTTTAGTTAATTCTGGATGTAGTCAAGTGGCAACCATGAACAGACATCAGTCTGTCTCAGAGTTCTGGAAACCTCCCTGGGTCCAAGCTTTGCAGCCTCCTTTGGTTTTCATGGCTCTGCCTCCTCTCAGAGGAGGAGGGGAGAAGATGTTTTCTTCTCACAGGTGGAAAAGGATGTTGAGTTCCATCTGGCTGTAATTTCGATGAGGGCAGGTCAGCCTGAGGTCCGAGACCCTTGGAGTAGTGTACGCAGGAGCCTGAGGCAGCTCAGCCAGCCATGGTCCCCCTTCAGCCTCATCCTAGTGGGACAAGACCCTGTGCCGTTTTTGTTTTTGTTTTCCAACAGTTAAACTGTGGCCTGAACTCTGATGCTTCTCTGTCATCTTAAAAAGATGAGACTCTGGGCCGGGCGTTGGTGGTGCACGCCTTTAATCCCAGCACTCGGGAGGCAGAGGCAGGTGAATCCCTGTGAGTTCGAGGCCAGCCTGGTCTACAGAGTGAGTTCCAGGACAGCCTCCAAAACAATACAGAGAAACCCTGTCTCAAAAAACCAAAAAAAAAAAAAAAAAAGAAGAAGAAGAAAAAAGAAAAAAAAATGAGGCTCTGGCTGGCTGGAGTAAGAGGAAAGATGGGGACAGGGGACATCACTGGCTGCAGGCGCTCTCTTGACATCCCAGATGTCATGGTCTGTTACAAGTTACCACTTAATTGCCTGACTAGAATTTGTCTTGTCTGGCGGCAATTAAAAACCAAACATGGCTCAGGTGCCATGGCTCATGGCACTGTGACTGCTTCCTGGAGTGAGGCTGTGATTCACTGTCCTGTCCGCAGTCGGTCCTTAAAGTGAAATCTTTTGTATTTTAATTTCTTGCTGCTTTGCAAACGTTCATTTCAGCACAGTCTATCTCAGTCACCAGTCCCCGCCCTGTTCAAGCTCTGGCTTCATCAGCTGGTGGTTCAATGTTGACTGAACAGCCCTGTGCCCTCAACCCCTGCGAGTCACACTCCGGATGTCGAGGAGAGGGAGGGGGAGTTGTTGGAGCACTTTTTTTTTTCCCGAGACAAGGTTTCTCTGTATTGTTTTGGAGGCTGTCCTGGAACTTGCTCTGTGGCCCAGGCTGGACTCGAACTCACAGAGATCCACCTGCCTCTGCCTCCCAAGTGCTGGGATTAAAGGCATACGCCACCAACGCCCGGCGTTGGAGCACTTTTTAAAATGTATTTTTTATCTTTTTTTTAAAGATTTATTTATTTATTACATATACACCAGATTGAATTGTAGATGGTTGTGAGCCACCATGTGGTTGCTGGGAATTGAACTCAGGACCTCTGGAAGAACAGTCAGTGCCCTTAACCTCTGAGCCATCTCTCCAGCCCTAAAATGTATTTTTTAACTTTATTTTTATTAGAGATATTTTTGTATATAACTATGCAGGTGACCAGGCATTGGGTCCCCTGGAACTGGAGTCACAGATGGTTGAGATGCGCCTTGTGGGCGCCGGGAGCTGAGCCCTGTAGCGGGGAACTGAGCCCTGTAGCGGGTATTCGCTCTGCCCGTGACCTTGAGCTCTGCCTGCCACCTTGTTGCGGGCTCCGAGCTGCCTCCGGGCACCGGGGCTCCTGCGTGCCACTCAGTGCTCTCCGCGCTCATCCGATTCCCGATTCTCCTCCTAACAAAAACTGTTCCTTGTACTTTAAATTCTCTTTAAAAATAACAGGTTATTAAGCCAGAGAGCATTCCAGGACCTGCTTTGGCGCTACGCCTGCGACACCTGCTGACCAAACCTCGTCATTACATTCCAAAATCGCCCTGCAAAGCAGCCATCCATACAGGTCTGTTTAATTAAGACCCTGGGGGGCGACGGTGGGGGGTGAAGTGGAGGGTGGGGTGGGGTGGGGAAGACCCTAGGACACCTAGGACAATGTTCCAAGGAGTTTATCTAATGGTATAATAATTTGACACTTTAAATTTATAATTAATTATTATTATTTTTTACACTTTGTAAGCTCCTTCCAATGGCAGATAATACCACCATTCAATTGGAGTATGGCTTTCTCTAAATCTGTCTCATATCAAAAGAGCCACCTGCTGTGGGACAGAAGAAAACCCAAAAATCTAGGAACTATTGTTGTCAAAACTCTGTTATCTCCCCAAAATTCTATTTCTCCACATATTTATTTTTCGTCTCTTTGGTACCTTTCTATGGATAAATATCTACCTAAAAGTTAAACTTTCTGTTTTGATATTTGTCATGTTTAAGTTATACACAGTGAACTATAAACTTTCCTGCCAGCAATCTCGGAAGTCTCCAGAAGCAAGATGGGGCCCACAAGAATAATTCTACCTGTTTATTATGATGCCATCAAACTGATAAAACACCACTCATAGCTTAGCTTGGACTACAACTGCTCAAGACAATTCCAAATTGGCTAGCTTTGGTGATGCATCTTCTTACAACATTCTAGCCATAACCTCAGATTAGAACTTTAAATAAGCCTTACCCGGCTGTCAGAGACTGGCTACAATGTTACAGCTAGTGGCTACAATGTTACAGCTAGCTCTCTTGAGATTTAACCTTTGTTTTAGTTTTCTACTGGATCCCATAAAGATACCGTCACCCCCAGATAGCAGGAAGCAATTATAAGAAAACTAAGCCCCTTCTGCCAACAGATTTTGTTTTATTAGGATTATATGTAATTGTTATCTGTTGGGGGTTGGTTATAATTTGTAATAGAGTTGGGGATGAAACAATTAAGTTTAGACTCAAGAATCTCTTTTGAAAAAAAAAGGGGGGAATAGATAGGATATTAAAGTAGATTAGTGTTATCTTCTTGTAAATCATTTTAGCAACTTATAGCTTTAGACAGTTTACATTGATATAGATTCTTTTTTAACTGTGTTCTTTTTTATTTATTATGCATACAGTGTTCTGCCAGAAGAGGGCACCAGATCTTATAACAGATGGTTGTGAGCCACAATGTGGTTGCTGGGAATTGAACTCGGGACCTCTGGAAAAGCTGCCAGTGCTCTTAACCTCTGAGCCATCTCTCCAGCCCCTGATATAGATTCTTGTATATTGATACATATGTAAAAGTATTTTGTATTCCTAAGATAACTTGTATATTGATACAAATTCAAAATTATATTTGTTGTATTATGTATGCTTCTTATTTGGACAGAAGGGGGAAGGGCAGTGAGCATTCGCTCTCCCCATGACCTGAGAGAGGCCATGCTTCTTGCCTGCGTGTACCTCTGATAAGCACAGGGGAGCTGGGGACTGTGCTCTCGGGAGGTGAAGACCTGGCCAGGTGTGAAGCAGTGAGTGATTCATCCCCAGCTTTTCAAGGACTCTGCAGCTGCATTTACCATATGCAGGGTTCATGAGTGTATTTCCACCTTTCTCATATCTTAATAAATCCTTGATACCCCTTAAACAGACACACGTGCATTTCTCACTACAGAACCTGGATCCTCGGCAACAGGAACGGGTGCTCTCAACCTCTGAGCCATCTCTCTAGCACCATTGGAGCTTTTACAGAAGGAAACCACACAGCCTGGCTCACGGCAAGACAGCTGACAAGATGGCTGATCACAGAAACTGGAGGCAAAGGAAGAGACAGGGTTAGTGCAGAGCTCGAGTGAGGGGTGCTGGGCTCTGATGGGGTGAGGCCTGAGGGACAGAGAAGGGCTGAGCAGGAGGTGACAGAAGAAAGGGGGGATCCTAATGCAGTGGAGTTCTCCTGGTTGAGGGTGTTTGTCTAGAGATCACATGCACACATCTGCAGAACCCTGCAGGGCATCTCACACTCCACACTGAATGCTGGGATGTTTGAATGAGAATGGACACACAGGCTCACAGGTTCAGACACTTCAGCTCCAGGTGATGGAACTGTGTGGGGGGAGGATCGGGAGGTGTGGCCTTGTTGGAGGAGGTGTGTCACTGGGGTGGGCATTGAGGTTTTAATAGACTCCCAATATTCCCAGTGCCTCTGACTATGGATCAAGATGTGAGCTCGCAGCTGCTCCAGCCACCATTCTTTCCTCTGCCATCATGGACTGGAACCCTCTGAAAACTTAATCCCAAATTAAATGTTTCCTTTTGTAAGTTACTGGGGTCACAGTGTCTTATCACAGTTCTAGAAAAGTAACTAAAGCTTGATGTGGCAAAACAAGACTTTAATCCCAGGATTTGGGATGCAAAGGCAGGTGGATCTCTGAGTTCAAGACCATCCTGGTCTACGTAGTATCAGGACAGCCAGACCTGAGGAGACAGACCTCGTCTGAAAAACAAACAAACAAACAAACAAAAAACACCAGGAGGGATCCGCAGGCCAAAATATTTCATCCTCTCCAACCCTTCCTCTTCCTTCTCTTCAGAAGTCAACCATGGATCTACCAGAAGAAAAGTCACTTCTGGGAACACAATGGCAACAACACTCGGGTTAGGATGCAGGGGAGAGATGATTTTTCTCTAAAGCAGAGGCCCTGGCCTGCAAGCACCACACAGACACCACAGACACCAGGCTCCTGTGTCCACCTGCAGGGGGCGCTCACACTGCCAAGCCTGGTGCTGGGGAATCTCCCCTGTAAATAGAGACTTTGCTCATCACTCAGGATCCAGTCTTCACAGCCTTGTGCTTACACTCAGAGTCCTAGTGTTTGTTCCCAGATGACCGTCTGTGGCTCAGGTGGTTGTGTTTTACACGAATCTTCTCTCCATAGTCCTCAGATTGTCTGTGTGGACCTGGGTCATCGTCTCAGCACAGTGGAACCCCTTCCCCACTGGGACAAAGATCTGGTGGAGACAGAATACAGTATCACAGCGATCCCTGTCTACACTGCACATTTCCCCGTGTCCACACACTTCCATGGTGCAATTTAGTGAATAAAACACAGTGAGAGAGGAACTGTAACTAAGTATAAAGCAGAATAATGATGATAGTTGTGGTAGAAGTTACATCCCTGTGACCTCTCTCTCTGGCTTTCATTCACACTGTATGAGATGAGAGAGATGAACGTCACATGATTGTGGAGCCCTGGACCTGGTAACCGTGGCTCCTGGGTTCCTCAGCCTGTGCAGTGTGGACACTGGACGGAGGGTGATTCTCACCGCAGAGGTACACACTGGGGATTCTAGGTTTCATCCCTGTTCAGTAGTGTGGAGAAAAATCAAATTTATAATTTTTTCGTTTCTGTGGATTGTGACTGATGTCTCCAAACACCAGCCACACATAACTGAAATAGAAAGTGAAAGCAGAGGAGGGTAGAGTCCTTCCTGCACGGAGTCACGCATGACACAGTGTGTCCAAAGGGCTTGACCAGAGCTGTGAAAACTCCAGTCACCTCCCATGCAGGTGTCCACGGCGGCCCCACGCACTCACCAGGACTGTGACAGCGTCTGTTTCCGTGAACATTCATTTTAACGCTGCCTGTGTTTCACCCGCAAACGTCATGCTCTTAGGTTTCATCCTGACCCGAGGAGCAGGTGGCCTTGGGCGGCCCAGAGACCCCGGGACAAACGCGCTCTGTCCCCAGCTCAGGGTCAAACAAAGTCTTGGTCCCGGGCGGTGAGGTCCGGGTGGGGAAGCCCAGCGCTGGGGATTCCCCTGTCCCCAGTTTCACTTCTCCAGCTCCTGACCTGTGTCAGCTCCTTCTGCCCGGACACTGATGACGACGCGGCGATTCGCACCCCCATTGGCTGTCGAAATCCCGGGGAACCAATCAGCGTCGCCGCGGGCATCAGGTATAAAATCCGAGCGGGGAACCCGGACGTCCAGATCCGAGATGGGGGCGATGGCGCCTCGCACGCTGCTCCTGCTGCTGGCGGCCGCCCTGGCCCCGACCCAGACCCGCGCGGGTGAGTGCGGGGACGAGAGGGAAACGGCGTCTGCGGGGAGGGCGGGGGTGGCACCGGGGAAGCCGCGTCCCCGCATCGCCCGGCCAGACCCTCCCGCCCCGCTCCCCTCCCGGCCGCGCACCTGCCCGGGGTCCCGGGAGGAGGTCGGGGTCTCACCGCGCACCGCCCCCAGGCTCGCACTCCATGCGGTATTTCCACACCATCGCGTCCCGGCCCGGCCTCGGGGAGCCCCGGTACGTGGAAGTCGGCTACGTGGACGACACGGAGTTCGTGCGCTTCGACAGCGACGCGGAGAATCCGAGGATGGAGCCGCGGGCGCCGTGGATGCAGCGGGAGGAGCCGGATTATTGGGAGAGGGAGACACGGAAAGCCAAGGGCCATGAGCAGACTTTCAGAGTGAACCTGAGGACCGCGCTCGGCTACTACAACCAGAGCGAGGGCGGTGAGTGACCCCGGGTCGGAGGTCACGACCTTCACGTCCCTACTTGGGGACCGGAGTCGCCCCGGGTCCCGAGTCCGAGGTCGCCCCGGGTCCCGAGTCCGAGGTCCGGGTGGAGGAAGCGGGGACCGGGACTCGGTTTCCCTTTCGGTTTAGGGGACGCGCGGTTGGGCGGGGCCTGTAGATGATCGGGGCGGGGCAGACCGCGGGGCGGAGCCTGTGGAGGAACAGGTGGGCGGGGCTGACAGCGGGGCGGGGCCTGTAGTGGATTATGTGGGCGGGGCAGATCACGGGGCGGGGGCTATAGTGGAACAGGTGGGCGGGGCTGACCACAGTGTCGCCCCCCAGGCTCTCACACCTGGCAGTGGATGTACGGCTGTCTCGTGGGGCCGGACGGGCGCCTCCTCCGCGGGTATGAACAGCTCGCCTACGATGGCAACGATTACATCGCCCTGAACGAGGACCTGAGGACGTGGACGGCGGCGGACGCGGCGGCGCAGATCACCCGGCAGAAGTGGGACCTGGCTGGTGAAGCAGAGAGACACAGGGCCTACCTGGAGGACGAGTGCGTGCAGTGGCTCCACAGATACCTGGAGAACGGGAAGGAGCAGCTGCTGCGCACAGGTGCAGGCACCCAGGGCAACTCCGCCCCCTGCCCTTGGGCTGGGCTCAGTCCTGAACAAGAAGAGACCTCAGCTGGGGTCCCGCCCCTGTCTCTGAGGGACACAGTATCCCTGGGGCTCTCCCAGGGCTCAGCCTTCTCCCTGGAAGGTTCCAGATCTGTCTCAGGAGGGAGGAGAGAAGATGCCCACATCCCCAGCAGTGGCTCCTTCAGTCTGCAGCCCTGGGTCAGCCATGGCCTCTCCCAGGCCGGGTTCTCTGCCCAGACCCAGTGTCTGAGTGTGTCAGCCTTACACACCGGGACTGGAGTCTCCTTTACCTGATGGGAGAGAAGGACGCCCCTACCCTAGGTTGGCTCCCCAGTTTCTAGAACCTTCCAAAGAATACATTCCCCCAGATTCCTGTGTGTGAGGTTTGCATCCCTCCCTCACCCCAATTCTATCTCTTCCTAGAATAGTCACGTGAGCTCTTATGGAGTACCGTGGAAAAAAAACCTCTAAAATATGTGGGCTTTTAAATTTTGTCTTTCTTTTTTTTTTTTAATTGTCATTTTCCTTCAGTTAGTTTTTTCTTCCTCACTGGGGTGACACTGTTTTTCCCTCCGTTTTCATTATCATCTGTATGAGTCTCCACAGGTGTCATGGGGGACTGCTAGTCTGGATAATTAGACAACTCAGTGTTCCCTTTAAAGAGTCCCATGAGCTTACACTATTTTCTGCCACAATTAACTATCTGAACCCCCCACTAAGCTCCCTCAGCCCCAACAAATTTCAGTGTTGCCCCAGTGAATTAGGAGTTGAGCTTCCTCAGACACAGGGTCTTCTGCAACTCAAGCACTGGAGTGACAGGGAAAATCCACACACCCCTGTGAGCACCGCTGTGTCCCAGTGAGTGCTGCACTGGGCTCCACAGCAACTTCCAGGGATCCTGGGTGACAACACCTTGTATCTTGTCCCCCAGAGGCTGGGGTTGGGGAGTCACTTTTTCTGCCCCAGTGTCAGAGGTTCACCCCATTTCTGCTGTTCACTTGGACAGACAGTGATGCTGCTCAGCAAGATGGCCACAGTGGTTGTGATTCAATGGTGGCACCCTTTATGTATCCCATTCTTCATAATTTGTTATATTGATATGATTTTTATCATGTATGTAAATTATATTACATCCCTTTTTCCATTCTTTTCCCACCTAACTTATGCTGTAGAACATCACATAAGGAAGACCATGGGACCTGCTGGGTCATGTGATTCCCTCTTAGCTTCTGGGCTCTCCCAGGAAAATGTGCAGATCTGTGATGAGGGGGACCAGCTCCACCTGCAGGTTACTAGTGGGATGACAGTCAGAAGTGTTCAGACACATAGTTCAGTGTCATCATTGATTTAACTTAGTCTATGCAGATTTCAATTTACCTTGTTATGGTGGGGTTTCTTAAATCTTCCACACAGATCCCCCAAAGGCACATGTGAGCCATCATCCTGGCCCTAAAGGTGATGTCACCCTGAGGTGCTGGGCCCTGGGCTTCTACCCTGCTGACATCACCCTGACCTGGCAGAGGGAGGAGGAGGAACAGACTCAGGACATGGAGCTGGTGGAGACCAGACCTTCTGGGGATGGAAGCTTCCAGAAGTGGGCATCTGTGGTGGTGCCTTCTGGGGAGGAGCAGAAATACACATGCCATGTGCACCATGAGGGGCTGCCTGAGCCCCTCACCCTGAGATGGGGTAAGGAGGGAGTGGGTGCAGGGCTGGGGTCAGGGAAAGATGGAGCCTTCTGCAGAGCCTGAGCAGGGTCAGGGCTGAGAGCTGGGGTCATGACCTTCACCTTCCCTTCCTGTCCTTCCCTTCGCAGAGCCTCCTCAGTCCACTGTCCCCATCATGGCAGTCATTGCTGTTCTGGTTCTCCTTGGAGCTGTGACCATCATTGGAGCTGTGGTGGCTGTTGTGAGGAAGAGGAAGGGAAAAGCAGGTAGGAAAGGGCGGGGTCCGAATTCCCTCCCATCCCCTTTTAGACGTGTGCTCTGCTCATGGAAACAATCCACACCCCCACAGCTCCTGTCTCTAACCTGGGACTTTTGTTGGTTCTGGAAACTTCCTAGGGATGGGCTCCTCCCTGATTTCTCACGGCTTTTCTTCTCACAGGTGGAAAAGGAGGGAACTATGCTCCAGCTCCAGGTAACTGTGGGGAGAAGTATTGTCCCTGAAACTGGTGGGGTGAACCTGGAGTGCTTAGGGGGGCTCTGGAAATCCATAATAGCTCCTCCAGCAAAATATTCTAGGGGTCATGTTTTTACCTTCTTATGAATATATGTGTTTTTACCCAAGGCAGGGACAGTTCCCAGAGCTCTGATGTGTCTCTCCCAGACTGTTAAGGTGACACTCTGGGACCTGAGTTGGGATTGGGGTGGGGGGCAAACTGGACATGATTGTATTTCAGGGACTCCCAGAATCACCTGTGAGTGAGTGGTGTGTTGTTGGGATGTTGTCTCCACAGTGATTGTTCATGACTCTTGTTCTGTAGCGTGAAGACAGCTGCCTGGTGTGGACTGAGTGACAAGACAGTGTGATCAGGCCTCTGCTGTGACATCCAGAGCCCCTCAGTCCACTCTCAGCAACAGTGTCTGATGTTCCCTGTGATCCTATGGGCTCAATGTGAAGCTCAGCTCAGCCCAGCCCTGTCCTGCACACCAGGACCCTGTCCCTGCACTGCCTGTGTTCCCTTCCATGGCCAATCCTCCTGTTCCAGCAGACAGGAGGGAACATCTCCATCCTGTCACCTCCCTGATGCCCTGAGCTGTAGACCCTGACTTCCCCAATGAAAATAAGGATCTCGATTTGAACTTGATTGTTCACGTCCTTGATCTGACAGGTTGATTGGCAGTTAAAAAAATTATTGAGATGCTTAGAGATGGTGGAGGAAATAAACATTAATGTGGAGAGCCTCCCAGAATCTGTGTTCATTGTGTTGGGTGCATCTGGTGGGACAGAATGAGACTGTGTGGAAACTGAGTGTGAAAAAGGGTGTGTCTACATGGACCTCAGTCCACTGTCAGCTGTGACATGGTCACTCCTCAGCTCTGTCACCTCCTGGCTCTGTTCTCTTCATCACTTAGAACCACATGCTGAGATCTGTGATCACAGGGACACAGGGATGGCCAGAGCTTTGTCTTGTCCCAGGATTGTGAGCAGCCAGGGCAACTGTGACATGTCGCCTGGGCTATGACCTGGCTGTATCTCTTACCCCATATTTGCTGTGTAATGTAGTCTTTTTACTTTCTGTGGAACACTGGGCCTGTTCTTGTTCCTGTGGGTGGAGCCTGCCTCCTTATCCCTTGTGCCCCCTGAGTGACAGTATTAAAATGTATTTCTCCTTCCTTTCCCATCAGGACCCAACTAGATCCCTGCATTCAGGAGACCTAAGAACATGAACTTCTGTCTCCTGAGCTCCTGCCTCCTTCCAGGCCCCTCCCTGGAGGCTCTCTCCTTCTCTCCCACCTTTCAGAATCTAACCCAGGTTGTAGGATGGCAGAGAGGAGGGATCACAGGGTCTCATCTCAGATCTGTCCTGTTGGATCTGTGTTCTGCCCAAGGTCCCCTCTCCCTCCCTGGCTCTGGGAATCCTGGTGCTGCCTCCAGTGGAGATTCCAGGATTTACAGGCTGTGTCTACCTTAGATTTGTGTTTGTTTAAAAGACATGATCCAGGGGCTGAAGAGATGGCTCAGGGTTTCAGAGCACTGGCTGTTCTTGCAGAGGAACCATGTTAGACACCAGCACCTACACCGTGGCTGACAGCCATCCATAACTCCTGTTCCATAGCATGAAATGCCCCTGTGGACACCAGATAGACACATGGTGCAAATACCTACAGGCAAGAATTCATTCACAGATGTAAAATAATGAATGTTTAAAAATAGGTTGTGGAAACACCAGAGATGGAAAGTACTTCATCCCCTGCTCCAGGTTCTGGCACCTGTGTTTTCTAGCCTCGTGACTTCAAGTCAGGAGCTCCAGGAGCCTTAGCAGAGATGTCTGATGACCAAGGAGGTGATAATCTCTGTCGTGATGCAGCTATCTTTGTCTTGTGAGGGATGATGACTTCTAGTGCCTGGGACCCAGCAAACATTCATACCCAAAAAAAAAGTTTGATGAATGAAGTAAAAAAAAAAAGGATCATAGATCATAGACAGAAAGGCAGGTAGGTGGGGGGTGTGGGGGGGGAGAGGTGGGCTTTGCTGAGTGGAGAGCTCAGGTGACCCTGACCTCAGTGTGAGGGGACCTGGTGCTGCCCCTGACACACCAGCACTTGGCTGAGGTTGTATTAACAAAGGGAGATCCTGTAGGGGAGGGAGGTGATGGTGTGAATTCTCCTCTAGACTGAAGGAACCTTCCTTCTGGAGTCAGGAGGAGGCTGATGAGGCTCAGGAAACACAAGAAGCTACAGGTTCACGGAGCTGACACAATGTAGCACTTCCCTCTCAGGGTTAAACCAACTGTGGTTGCTGAGGAAGAGGATTCTGTTGAGCGGAGCAGCTGGGAGCTGTGCAGGGGACTCAGTGATGCAGCTGCCTGAGTGACATGCACACTGGGGTGGGGTGTCAGTGCTTATCCCTGACTCACCCAGGATCCTGTGAGTGACCAGTGAGCTCTGGGCTCACGGAGCTGATAGTGAGTGGATGTTCTCCTTGGTCTGCTGTCACTATCTTATTTGGGGTGGAGGAAATCCACTCCTCAAGCATGGGACACAGTGGTCTGTTCCAGATGTGAGCTGTAAGCCCTGTTTCTGAGACTCACTGGGTAGTGATACGGTGTTGCTGGTCTCCTGGAGCCAGCACTGTGGTGGGCAGACGCCTGTGATACAGTGAAGGGAATAAACAAGGACAGGTTGTCTCAGGAGCTGGAGGGCAGAAGGGGAGATGCCCAGAGGGCAGGTGAACAGAACAAGGCATAGACTTACTGTTTTTAAAAGACTTATGGTTTGAATTTTCTAGGTCTCTGAAATCAGAAGCAGGTGAATTTCTGGGAGTTCAAGGTCTACAAAGTAATAGTATTTTTTCAATCATGTGTATGTATGAGTAATTTTCTGTTGTTGTGATGAAAGACCACGGCCAAGTCATGTAGAGAGCTGCGAAGTGCAGCACCCTTAAGATGGTGCTGGCTTCCGCCTCTGCTAGCCCGACAGCAAGTGCTCCCTGTGATAAACAACTCCTTATTTGGTCAAGGCTGGATATCAGGCTTGCTTCCTCGTATATGGACCTATCTGCTGTCGCCACATGGCTTACCGGGGTTGGCCGCCCAAGGGCCTTTTTAAGCTGTGGGCGGGCACTCCCTGGGGTCAGAAGATTTGTTCAAGGTTCCTGAATAAACCGCTGATGAGAAGGATTCCTGAGTCACGTCTTCCTTGCTGGTAGAGTAGAGGTGGTCGTGACAAAGTCAACATTTGGAAGAGTGTGTTTGGGCTACAGTTCCAATGGCTGAGAGTGCATCATGGCAAGAGAGCAGTGCCCTGAGCAGCAGGCAGAGAGTCCTGAGCAGGAAGCCCAGAGCTCACATCTCAGTGGCAAACAGGAAGCAGAAAGAGCAAAATGGAGGCAGATGGGACTTTCCCCCCACAGCCCTCCCTATTCCCAATGTCTCTGAAGCTTGCAGATCGAGATGTGAGCTCTCAGCTGCTCCAGCCACCATTCCTTTCCTCTGCCACCATGGACTCAAACCCTCTGGAAACTTAAGCCCAAATTAAATGTTTCCTTTTGTAAGTTGCTGGTGTCACAGTGTGTTATACCAGGCATAGAAAAAAAGTAAAGCCAGGTGTTCACACAAACCTTTAGCCCCAGTACTTGGGATACAAAGGCAGATGGTTCTCTGAGTTCAAGACCAGCCTGGTCTACATAGTAAGTTTCAGGACAGCCAGAATGAAGGAGACAGACCTTGTCTCAAAAACAGAAACAAAAACAAAATCACCAGGAGACGCCCACAGCCCAGAACATTTCATTCTCTCCTCACCCTTCCTCTTCCTTCTATTCACAAGCTAGACTCCGGATCTTCCAGAAGAAAAGTCACTTCCGGGAACACAATGGCAATAACACTAGGGCCGGGATGCAGGGGAGAGATGATTTCTCTTTAAAGCAGATGCCCTGGCCTGCAAGCCCCACACAGACTCCCACAGACACCAGGCTCCTGTGTCCACCTGCAGGGGGCGCTCACACTGCCAAGCCTGGTGCTCGGGAATCTCCCCTGTAAATAGAGACTTTGCTCATCACTCAGAATCCAGTCTTCACAGCCTTGTGATTACACTCAGACTCCTAGTGTTTCTTCCCAGATGACCATCTGTGGCTCCAGGTGGTTGTGTTTTACAAGGATCTTCTCTTCATAGTCCTCAGATTGTGTGAACCTGGGTCATCATCTCAGCACAGTGGACCCCTTCCCCACTGCGACAAAGATCTGGTGGAGACAGAATACAGTATCACAGCGATCCCTGTCTACACTGCACATTTCCCTATGACCACACACTTCAGTGGTAACATTGCTTTAGTGAATAAACCACAGTAAGAGAGGGATTGTAACTAAGTAAAAAGCAGAATAATGATGATAGTGTGGTAGAAGTTATGCAACCTGTGACTCTCTGTGTCTCTGTCTGTCTCTCTCTGTGTCTCTTTCTGTCTCTGTCTCTCTGTCTCTGTCTCTCTCTCTCTCTCTGTCTCTCTCTCTGTCTCTCTCTCTGTCTCTCTGTCTCTCTGTCTCTCTCTCTCTCTGTCTCTCTCTCTCTCTCTCTCTCTCTCTCTCTCTCTCTCTCTCTCTCTCTCTCTCTCTCGGTCTTGCACTAGCTCTCCCTGTCTCTCTCCGACCTCAACACTTTATTAGATGGAGATGAACGTCACAGGATTGTGGGGCCCTGGGCCTGATAACCATTTGGCACCTGGGTTCCTCAGCCTGTGCAGTGTGGACACTGGACAGAGGGTGATTCTCATGGCAGAGATACACACTGGGGATTCTAGGGTTTGTCCTACAGTTCTGTAGTGTGAAGAAAAATCAAATGTACATATTTTGTTTGTTTCTGTGGATTTTGACTTGATGTCTCCAAATTCCAGCCACACATAACAGAAGTAGAAAGTGAAAGCAGAGGAGAGTCGGGACTCCTTCCTGCATGGAGTCACGCATGACACAGTGTGTCCAAAGGGCTTGACCAGAGCTATGAAAACTCCAGTCACCTCCAGGCAGGTGTCCATGGCAGCCCCATGCACTCACCAGGACTACAACAGCACCTGTTTCCTTGAACATTCATTTTAATTGCTGCCTTTATTTTATGTGGAAATTTCTAGCTCTTAAGTATCATCCTGACCTGAGGAGCAGTTGGCCTTATGCTGCTAAGAGACCCCGGGACAAACAGCGATCTGTCCTGCAGCACGGGGTCAGACAAAGTCCCCAGCTGTGAGGGCCTACTTGGGGAAGCCCAGCACTAGGGATTCCCCCCCGTCCCCAGTTTCACTTCTCCAACTCCTGACCTGTGTCAGCTCCTTCTGCCCGGACACTGATGAGGACTCGATTCTCATCTCCACTGGGTGTCGAGATCCCTGGGAACCAACCAGCTTCGCCAAGGGGGCACCGGGTATAAAGTCCATGCAGGGAACCCTGACGCCCAGATCTGAGATGGGGGCTATGACTCTGCTTGCACTGCTCCTGCTGCTGACCCCGACCCAGACCCGCGCGGGTGAGTGCGGGGTCGGGAGGGAAATGGGGTCTGCGGGGAGGGCGGGGGCGGCACCGGGGAAGCCGCGTCCCCGCATCGCCCGCCCAGACCGTCCCGCCCCTTCCCCTCCCGCGTCCCGAGCCCCGCGCCCCGCTCCCCTCCCGGCCGGCGCGCACCGGAGGTCGGGGTCTCACCGCGCGCCGTCTCCAGGCTCGCAATCCATGCGGTATTTCCTCACCATCGTGTCCCGGCCCGGCCTCGGGGAGACCCGTTTCGTCTCTGTTGGCTATGTGGACCACACGGAGTTCGTGAGCTTCGACAGCGACGCGGAGAATCCGAGAGTGGAGCTGCGGACGCCATGGATAGAGAAGGAGGGGCCCGAGTATTGGGAGAGGGAGACACAGATCGCCAAGGGCACTGAGCAGAGTTTCCTTCCTATTTGACCTGAGGAACATACTCAGTTGCTACAACCAGAGTGAGGGTGGTGAGTGACCCCGGGTCGGAGGTCAGGACCTTCATGTCCGGAAGTCCCCCAGGGTACCAAATCCGAGGTCTGGAAAGCAGAGAACACAGACTGGGACCCGGTTTCCCTTTCAGTTTAGGTGATGCGTGGGTGGGTGGGGTCGCAATGCAGGGCTGAACACTTGGTCCCGCAGGCTCTCACTACTTCCAGGGCATGTACGGCTGTCACTTGGGGTCTGACGGGCGCCTCCTTCACGGGTACAGTCAGGATGCGTACGATGGCGAGGATTACATCTCCCTGAACGACGACCTGAGGACATGGACTGCAGCAAACACAGCAGCAGCCCTTATCACCCGGAGCATGCGGGAGGAGGATGGTATAGCTGAGCAATGGAGGGCCTACCTGGAGGGCGCATGCGTGCTGTGGCTCCGCAGATACCTGGAGCACGGGAAGGAGCAGCTGCTGCGCACAGGTGCAGGCGCCCAGGGCAACTCCTCCCCCTGCCCTCGGTCTGGGCTCTGTCCTGGGGTAGAAGAGACCTCAGCTGGGGTCCCGCCCCTGTCTCTGAGGGACACAGTGTCCCTGGGGCTCCTGATCCAGCCTGGCAGGGACTGCACTGATCTCCCAGGGTTCAGCCTTCTCCCTGGAAGGTTCCAGGTCTGTCTCAGGAGGGAGGAGAGAAGACGCCCACATCCCCAGCCGTGGCTCCTTCAGTCTGCAGCCCTGGGTCAGCCATGGCTTCTCCCATGCCGGGTTCTCTGCCCTGACCCAGTGTCTGAGTGTGTCAGCCTTACACACCAGGACCGGAGTCTCCTTTACTTGATGGGAGAGGAGGACGCCCCTAGCCTAGGCTGGCTCCCCAATTCGTAGAACTTTCCCAAGAATACATTCCTCTAGATTCCTGTGTGTGAGGTTTGCATCCCTCCCTTACCCGAATTCTATCTCTTCCTAGAATGGTCACGTGGCAATTATGGATTGCCCTGGAAAGAACTCTAAATTATGGGGTTTTTCCTTTTCTTTTATCCCTTTGTTTTTATTAAGTTGTCATTTTGCCTTCATCAGTTTTTCTACCTCACTGGTGAAACTCCTTTGGCCCTCCCTTTTTATTATAACCTGTATCGTTCTCCACAGGTATCATGGGCGACTGTCAATCTGATAATTAGACAACTCAGTGTTCCCTTTAAACAAAAGATTCCCATGACCTTAGACTATTTGCTGCCAGAATTAACCACTCAAACTCCCACTGTTCTTCCTCTACCCCAAGAAGTTACAATGTTGCCCTCAGTGAATTAGGAGGTGAACTACCTCAGACACAGGGTCTTCTGCAACTCAAGCACTGGAGTGACAGGGAAAATCCACACACCCCCTAATTGATCCTGTCTCTGACCTGGATCTGTTGTCAGTTAAGGAAATTGCCTAGGGATGGGCTCAGCCATTCAGAGCACTGGCTGCTCTTCCAGAGAATCAGGATTCAATTCCCAGCACCCACATGGCAGCTCACAATCATCTATAATGGGATCTGATGCGCTTTTCTAGTGTGCAGACATACAAGTAGAGCACTCATACAAAAAAAAAAACAAAAACAAAAAATGTCACCAATAGAAACAAAACTCTGAGAATGTTAGGAGTAAAAGCAGAGGAAACACTTTAAAATAAAGGCAGGGGCTAAAAGCAGTGGCCAGGCACAGGGGCACATGCCTTTGGGCAGAGGCAGGGGGATCTCTGTGAGCTCAGTCAGCCTGTTCAAGTTTCAGGCAGGACAGTCAAAACTACGTAGACAGACTCCATCTCAAAAGAAAAACAAGACAGACAGAGGCAGAGAAAAGCGCTTTGTCAAATAGGACACTAGCCAGCCAGGAAATAAGACAACGATCACCAAACAGGACTTCATGGAATTCAGAGTCTCTGAGCAGCAAAGAGAACAGTGAACAGAGTGAAGAGAGGTCACAGAACGTCTTCACCAGCGCTGCATCAGACAGAGACTAACACCCCGAGTACACAGGAACTCAAAAACTAGACACTAAGAAAGCAAACAGCCCAGTCACACAGTGCGCCATGGGGATGGACAGAAATCCCTCAAAAGAAGAAATGCACACTCGGGAGTCAGAGGCAGGGGAATCTCTGTAAGCTTGAGGCCAGACTGGTCTACATGGCAAGTTCTGAGACATCTAGAACTACTAAGTGAGATGCTGTTTCAGAAAGTCTATTCCCCAAAGCCACGGGTTGTAAAAAAGGAAAATGGCACCCAGTTCCAGGCCTGAGCTGTCTCCCTGTGAATTGTCTGGCAGATGGCCCCAACAACAACACGGGAATTATCAGTGCTCCCAGTTGCCCACAAGAAGCAGGTTACAAGACTTGTTGCTGGGGACACTGCATAGGTTAATTACAGGACATAGAGAAATTAAGCCATAACTAGACTGAGAGCAACCCCCCTGCTGTGGAGTGTTCTCAGTGCTAGAAGGAGCTGCGGGGAACCCCCGTGTGCCACACTACCCAAAGGGACACCTATGCCACGCCCCTCACATCCCAGGAGCATGGCAGGTTGTCAGGAGGGGTGGAGAACTGTGAAAGGAGCTCCCGGGTATGGCATGGCCACTGCAGTCTGGAACCCTGCTGCACACTGACCCCTCACAATGCCTCATGCAGGAGGGAAACACTCCCTCCCTGAGGATGACTAGGCAGACAGCGGTGGCAGTAGACACTGGTAAGTAGACTGCACTCCTGTGAGCAATGCTAATTAAATATATTGGACCACCAAAAGCAAAGCAAACAAAAAAAACAAACAAGAAAGACACATGGGGGGATGGAGAGATGGCTCAGTGGTTAAGAGCACTTCATTTTACTGCCTGCTCTTCCAGAGGTCCTGAGTTCAATTCCCAGCAACCACATGGTGGCTCACAACCATCTGTAGTGAGATCTGGTGCCCTCTTCTGGCCTGCAGGGATACATGGAGACAGAACACTTTAAACATAATTCATTAATTAATCTTTTAAAAAAACAAACAAAACAAAAAGAAAGACATATGTTAGAGTCTCTATTGCTGTGAAGAAACATGGCCATGGCCACTGTTATAAAGGAAACATTTAATTGGGGTGGCTCCCTTACAGTTCAGAGGTTGAGTCCGTTGTTATCATGATGGTAATCATGGCAGCGTGCAGGGACTTTATCCTGAAGGGGCAGCCAAGAGTCCTATCTTGCAGGCAGCAGGAAGTCCATTGAAATATTGGGTGGTGTCCTGAGCATAGGAAACCTCAAAGCTCTGCCACCACAGTGATGCACTTCCTCCAACAAAGCCATACCCACTCCAACAGAGTCACACCTCCTAATAGTGCCACTCCCTATGAGATTATGGGGATCAATTACACTCAAACTACCACAGCATAGAATCAATATATTATTTTTAAAGAAGAAACTGCTTTTCTCCAAGGCTGCTGGAGAGGTGGTCAGGGATGAGTAGGTGTGCTGACTGCTCTCCTGCAGCACCAGGTTCAGTTCCCAGCATCCACATGGAGGCTCACAGCCACCTGTAACTCCAGCTCCTAGGGACCCTGATGCCCTCTTCAGGAACCACGGGCACATCCCTGCAAAGAAAAAACAATCACACCCATAGAACAGAAATAAATATGTTTTATAGAAATCTGATCCTGGTGTTGTGGTGCCTGACTTTAACCCCGGGAGTCAGCATTTGGGGGAAGGAGTCAGGTGATCTCTGTGAGTCTGAGACCAGCCTGGTCTACATAGTAAGGTACTGTGTCAAAGAACAATTCTACGGGTAGAGTTCAGGTCATCAGAGTATGAGGTAAGAGCTCAGCGGCTCAGCCAGCTCATGGCCCTGAATACTGAACTCCTAAGAAGTGCTAACATCTGCTGCTTGTCCTGAGGGCCACACCGTGAGAGCCCCTGTCCCAAGCCTGACTGGCTGGTGTCTCAAGTCAGAAGACAGGGAGAGGGCTGCCAGGAGAATACACCACAAAGCAGGCCACGCCCTGTCCATCCTAGAGAGCTCACCAACAATGACAGACACTCGGGGAGGGAGCAGCATGGAGTCAGAGATCAACCAGAGGCAGGGACTTTACACACAGCACAGGGCTCTGTTTCTGGCTAGTGACCTTCTGCTTGGCCTTGTATTGTCGCTGTCGGGGCTACGATGTAACCAGCGGGACTCCTCTCGCCCTCAGATGGAGTGACATAGTTTGAGGGGTTTGAGAAAATTACAGGGTCAACAGAAGGAGCAATAGTGACGCTGAAAATTTGGTGATTGGCTTCAAATGTATCCAGGCTTACCCTAAGTACAATCAGGGTTTCCCACCGATAGTGTGATGGAGCCTTGGGGTCACTAGAGGGCGCACTGAGCTCGCGGAAGCCGCAGTCCCGGGGCCCCACAGAATCCCTTGCAGGAGAGTTTAACAAATTGTCCTCTGCTACACTGAACTTGTTTCTTTATTTTGACAATTATCTTCTGCTTTCTTCGTAAATTTTATTTTACTACTTTACGGTTATGGGTGTTTTGTCTCCATATACGTGTATGGTGACCCTTGGAAGCCAGAAGAGAGAACGGGATTTCCTAGAACTGGAGTGAACCGGCTTGTGGGTGCTGAGACTCAAACCCCAGTCCTCTGGGAGAGCAGCTGGTGCTCTTAACCACTGTGCCATCTCTCCAGCTCTCGCGTTTTCTTTTGTTTTGAAAGGGAGTTGGTTCTGAGAAAGAATCTCACCTGTAGCCCAGGCTAGCCCGGTTCTCTATGCAATTCAAGGTTGGTCTCAAATCCAAGGTGATCCTCCTCCCTCAAGCTTCACAAGTGCCGAGTTGATCAGGGTGAGTCTCCGCATTCCGCTTTAATGCACGTGTAAAGAGAGATGATGAAATTATG